CCCCCCCAAAAAGACAAACCTACAATTTTCATTAGTTCATAAGTAATGTAATTGGCATCCATAAATAATAGAAATCAGACTTTGCTTTTGTTTTGTTTTTTCTAAATGGCATATCATAACTTAGATAATAAAACATATGAAAACGGCATGGAAAAAACTACGGGACCCTTCAATAAATATTTTGTTGAACAACCTTAAGTTGGCCGTACACTGTGCGAATTTCAGCTGGTCCTTGAGGAACCGGCCTCAATTCGCACAGTGGGTTCCGCTGCCGGCACCCTTTCAGCTGGCATCCCTCGATCAAAGGACATTCTTCCAGAAGCTCTGTGGCTTGTCCATCTGCATTTTAGCAAGTTCCCATCTAGCTTTTTTGTTTCTGCTTTCCTCCAGCATCTTCTACCTTTGAGTCCCCTGTTACTCAAAAAGTGACACATGGTGCAATCAGACATTGATGTACCTTGATCGTGGATCTCAGCTAGTGGAAGTTTTCTTTGGCTCTCTGTCTACCTTTCGCACTAGCCTTCTGTTCACTCTGAGGTCAATTTTCCTCCTGCGTCCAAGAAGGTTGGCTACACACTCATAGACCTTAAACTTCTTTATAATATATGCAACTGTAGTCACGGGAACATTAAAGGAGAACTATGAGGTGAGTGCTTTTCACTCACCTCATAGTTCTAGCCGACCTGTGACAATGAGACTGTCACAGGTCGGCTCAGTAGATCGGGAGGTGAGCGAACACATACCGGCGTTCGCTCAACCACCGATCCTGTCACGGCTCTCTGCTGTGACAGTGGAGGGGCTGGATTCCCCGCTCCGATCCGCCAGCGCTGACTGGAGGAACGGACGGGGGAGGGGGCGGGTACAGCTGGCTCTGCCTCTAGATAGGCAGAGCCAGCTGTCACTCACGCAGCTGGGCGGATCCCGATATCGATCTCGGGATCCGCTCCGGCTGCGGCGTCTCAGTATACCGCGAGCTGTAGCTCGCGGTATACTGAGCCTAGGGTGACGGGAGGACGCTAGTTTCTGTCCTCCCGTTACCCTAAGGAGAACTATGGGGAAAAGCCCTGACCTCATAGTTCTCCTTTAAGCTACTTGGAGACGGTCTTCAAGCCTTTACCTTTGACTTGCTGGTCTATACTGTTCTTTCTGATCTCCTCAGACATTTCTCTCCTTTGTTTCCTCTGGTCCTTGTTCAGTGTGGTGGACACAGTGATACCAAGCAGCAGAGTGATGACCTTTCTCCATCTATAAAGGCTCACTGGATGATTTCAAGATCAACTGAGTGATACTAATTACATAACACGACGATCCAATTATCTATAACCTTCTCTAGCGGTACCAACAAATCTGTCCAAGCCATCTTAGAATATCTTTGTAGAATAAGCAATAATTTATCTCTTTTCATACTTCCTTTGCCTTCCTCTATGACATACCAAAGACATGCCGGTATATACGAGACCATTGCTTTCATTTCACCACTTTTAAGGAAGAGAGAAGCGTTGTTCTAATGAGCTGTAAGGGCACCAACAAAATGTGTACACGCCTGTACTACGACATGGGAAAAACCCTCATTTATTGCATATACCCCTCTGTGCTGTATACTGTGAGTGTAATACTCCAATATACCGTATGTATATACCCCTATTATACCATTACCCTATAATGGGGTATTAAACTCACAGTATATGGCACAGAGGGGTATATATACTGTATACTGGGGTATTACACTCACAGAGGGGTCTATTGGGGTATTATACTCACAATATATAACACAGAGGGGTACATATACTGTATACTGGGGTATATATACTGTATATTGGGGTATTATACTCACAGTATATAGCACAGAGGCAGATATATACATTATGCTGGGGTATTACACTCATTACAGTATATTGGGGGATGTATGCAGTATATTGGGGTATCACACTCACAGTATATGGCACAGAGGGGTATGTATACAGTATATTGGGGGATGTATGCAGTATATTGGGGTATCACACTCACAGTATTTGGCACAGAGGGGTATGTATACAGTATATTGGGGTACATATACAGTATATTGGGGTATCACACTCACAGTATATGGCACAGAGGGGTATGTATACATTATATTGGGGTATGTATGCAGTATATTGGGGTATCACACTCACAGTATATGGCACAGAGGGGTATGTATACAGTATATTGGAGTATATATACAGTATATTGGGGTATCACACTCACAGTATATGGCACAGATGGCTCTCAGGAGGACAATTCTTGTCATCCAGAAGGTTCCGGTACTCAGGGTCACCCCCGAGGGACTCTTCTCCTCCCCCGGCTCAGTTCTGCCCTCAGCCGGTTGGTGGGGGGTTGTTTTTGCCCCCTTCCTCTTCCTCAGCCCTGCCATCCCCCTACTCCCATCCTCACTGTCACTGGGCGCTGCCATGTTGCTGTACGCAGCGCGCATGCGCCGACCTGTCAGATCCCTCCACGTGTATCCCAGCCAGTCACTGCGCGACCACGACTGCCGATGCCGTGCTGTGCGCGTCCACGCCAGCTACTCACCTGTGTCCTGGGAAGAGGAGGAAGAAGGGTGTCATGGGGGGGGGGCCTTTGATCTGCAGTCACATGTCTGCTTCAGCGAAGGTATCCACAAAAGCTCTCTGGGTGCTCCACTTCTAAATGCTTATTCCCTGGATGTCATGCAGATCCCCTGGCTTCCATTTAAGTAACTAGGAAAGTACTGAAGCCAGAAACAGCCATACACTTGCATGTAGAAGGAGGAGGATAGCAATGAACCCCTTTATAAAAGTTGCATGGTAGGTTTTGGGGGCTTTACTGTTATTCTCATCAGTGGCGTCACAAGGGGGGTGCGGCCCGCACCCGGATGACAACATTGCAGGGGTGACACCAAAATGACTGCCAGTCATTCAAGTCAATGGCACCACTCCCCCCTCCACGCCCGCACCAGAACCTGTGGCACAGCAATGCCTACGTTCCAGTCCAGTGCGATCACACAAAATAGTGCATTATTATAGTGTATGCCTCCCCTATGCGATCCAGTGCATTCCAGCTACTAACTGCACCAGAACGCACTGGAGATGGTGTGAATCGGCCCTTAAAGCTCTACTCTGGGGGCAAAAAAAATTTTTATTTCAATATATTCCTCCGGAGCCACAAGGGATATAAATCCACTCTGTGTTCAGCACATGCCTTTGTGAACCCAGATATTGCTTTTTAAAAGTAGCAGTGACATCATCACCGTGCTGTACATTGCTTGTGCAGAGAGCAGAGCCGTGGGAGGGGACCAGCAGGCTCCACCCACTACAGGAGACTATAGGAGGGGCGGAGACAAGACCAGTCACCCTGCACAAGGAGAGAGAGCAACAGTGACCGGTCTTTATTACATGAAGGCTCCACGCACTACAGGAGGGGGCAGAGACAAGACCAGTCACCCTGCACAAGGAGATAGAGCAGCAGTGAGTGGTCTTTATTGCAGGAAGGGGGCAGAGACAAGACCAGTCACCCTGCACAAGGAGAGAGAGCAGCAATGCGCGGTCTTTATTACAGGAGGAGGTGGAGACAAGATCAGTCACCCTGCACAAGGAGAGAGCAGCAATGAGCGGTCTTTATTACAGGAGGAGGTGGAGACAAGATCAGTCACCCTGCACAAGGAGAGAGCAGCAATGAGCGGTCTTTATTAAGGAAGGGGCGGAGACAAGACCAATCACCCAGCACAAGGAGAGAGAGCGGCAGTGTCTGTATTACAGGAAGTGGTTTTTATCTGGGAAACTCCATTAACTCTATAATCGAATGTTAAAATGGAGCAAACATTCGTCAAGCCTTTGATGGCGTTATCGAATGTTCTGACCAGATTTCTCGCATGAACACTCAAAAGGAAATCTACCCGTGTATGGATTGGGAATTGTCCCAAAAGC